GTATGGTGGAATTAGGGTAGCGCCTGTGTCCTTGATTACGTCTGCAACGACAGCCTCGCGTTCGGTGCTCGTGGAGCCGGAGAAATGTATATTGGCATTCTGGGCGCGGGTCCCGGCTATCTTAGAGGGCGTGGAGATAGAGGGCATGACGATGTGGGCGGGGATGGAGAAGGTCTTTGCAGCAAGCGCAAGGGCCTGCGCGTGGTTTCCTGGTGTTGATGTTAGCCATGCCGCCGAGCCCCCTTGGGACGTGGTTGTAGATGTACCACTGCTATGTGTGACTACTCCCTTCCTCTGCACTTGCTCCAGCCCCTCTTTCTCAATCAATCGCGTTACGGCATGGAAGGCTCCGCGTACTTTGAACGCGCCAATGCGCTGCAAATTCTCGCACTTGAAGAAGAGCTTAACCCTCGGGTGCGCGGGCTCTTGGCCCTCCCATTGTGTTCCTTGCAGGGCTTCGGGTGCTTGACGAGTATTGGCGAGGTTGGTCAAGGTGGTGTTGGTCAAGACGGGCGTGTCGTGGATGTGCGGTTTGATAAGGGCGTGGGCGGCTTCGACCGAGGCGCGCGTCAGGGAAGCAGGCGGTGCTGGAGAGGACATTGTCGCCGCTGGGGAGGAGGATCACAACGAAAGGAGCGCATGCTGGGGAGCATCGTACAAGACGTGACTCAGCGGAGAAAGAAAGAGCGATATGGTGGGGAAAGCTGGCGTGTGGAGGATGGCGTGGGGAAAGATCCCGCGAGTCATGTTGCGGCAGCCCAGAGATCAACCTTGGAATTCTCCTCCGATGCTCTGCACTACGAGCTCTAGAAGCTTTTGATACCTTCGTCGTCGCTTGGCATCGACGATGCGAGTAATTCAAGGTCCATGGCGTGCCGCGCCTGGCCCTACTCGAACCTGACGTACGGAAATATCACAACGGACCGTCAACGCTCGCATACGAGCACGCAAGATCTTGGATAAAGATGTAGCGACGGTGTGGAGACAATCGTTCAGCCATATTACACGTGAGTCTTCAGATAAGCAACTGGGACCAAGCAGCAACCAAGCAAGGCCATGCTTCGCTCGCCAGCTTGATACACACCATGTCCAGCTCTGGGCAAGTGCACAGTCAGCCTAATAAAGACTGCATTTGGCGAAGTAGATGAGCAATACAATGAGAGCGTGAGAGGCAAAAGAGATCTAAGAACAGATTATTGGTTGCCAATGATAACACGAGCAAGAGAAGTCACACATGAACGGTAAGCCGATGTGCTAGGAATTGGGTCTAGTGAGCCGTATATTCCCAAGTATTGCAAGAATAGCGGCGCAGGAAAATGCAGCGGCCTGTGCCGGTTGCTATGGAAAAGCGTCAGTAAATAGCATAGTTCGTACCGCATGCCGATGGAGCATGATGATACTGTGATACGATACTGTGAGAGACAGAGTAGTAAGCTGAGGGTTGCGAAGTATGGACATGTTGTTGGCGTAGGAACGATCGAAGGGCAGCTACGATGGGAAACAGGCCGCGCAAGTGGGTAATTCTGCGTAGGCCCGTGCACATAAGTGCTGCCATCGCGATTTCACAACGCGGTTTGACTCTTGCAAAATCCTACAGAGTTCGTGTGAATAGGTTATGTGACTCTCTTGATGGAGTGGTTGCACCATGAGGAGGTCATGGTAAAGGATGTAGAGTCTACGAAAGTTCCGAGCTCGGATTCTTCGTAGCGTCTGTGCACGCTAGCATGTTCATCTCCGTTGCCAGTCATAATCCATTGTTCCCAGCCATCTCATGCAACCTTGGCAACGATTCATCGCTTTCCATGCACGAATTCGACAGATACATCTTGATGTGCTATGACCAAGAGGTCCCATGCCAGTATAGCCTCCTCGCAAGCAGAGCACTCAGAACGACAGGCATCCTATGATGGTGAGCGCAGCGGAAGCCATGAGGACGGGGACGGCTCTTTTCTGAAAAAGCCACGGTCATTCATGGCTACACTGGTATGTGGCTATATATAAAAAAAGGAGATACGAGAGCGATTTTCTGACTAGAATAGGCTTGCGACATTTGCAGATCAAGAAAGACTCGCTGTGATGAAGATCGACCAAGATGCGGTTACTGCAGGAACATGAATTTGGAGTGCACTTATCAGGCACCGCGAAATACGAAGAAAGATCAGTCTTTAACATTAGCCATCAATGCCATTCGGAGGCTGGAAGCAAAGATCGAAGATCTGACGACGGCAATTAATACTCCCAAGCCTTCGTCTGCTATTCCACTCTCACCAGCAGGACCTATCAATGACCACCAATCACCTCATACCCTGTTCTCACAACCCAGTCCAGGATATCATGTCTCAACAATACCATCTCATCACTCCCAGAACGGTAAATTGAGTATACACGAGTTGGCAATGTCGCCACAAGTTGTGGGAACTCCTGTCAAAAGTCCTTTCCCGGTCATAGAAGTCCAAGGTGCTGTGGATCTTTCCTTCAGTCAGCATCGTGTCGCGCTCTGGCCGGCCATACAACAGATTCTCCCCACTGGATTTGTCGCTGTTCGAGCAGAGCTTCCAGAGGACTACATAGTCGACATCGAGAATCGAAGAGCGCAGTTACCGATACACATCGATCGTCCATACGGCACCGCCCCGGAAAGTTGGTTGATGAGCCTTCCACAGTCGGCAGTGAAAGGACTTGCGGATGCGTACTTTGCCGTTTTTCATCGCAACATGCCAATCCTTGACAAGTATCATTTCTTCTCAAGTACGCTAGGCACAGCTATGGAGAACGAATTCGGGTATGATGTTGAAACTGCGCTAGTGCTCAACGTGCTCGCATTGGGTTGCCTAGCTGTCAAAGCTCATGAGGAAGGGGACTTCGCTCTTCCTTCGCGTCACTCTGCAGCCAGACCTGGCTTTGAACACCCAGACTGGTACGAACTTGTTGCAGACGACCCACCGGGCCTCAAGTTTTTCAACGAAGCGAGACACCGATTCGGTTTTCTCATGTGCGAGAATGATATACAAGCGGGCCAATTCTACATGCTTTCGACGCTCTACTATGCCCAGATCCTGCGACCTCTCGATTCATGGACCACCGTGAATCGGGCAGCCCTCTGCTGCGCTAGCATTCTTACCCGTTCGGGGGCAGTCGACTACGATACATGGGAAGGTGACATGCTATCGCGCCTCTTCTGGTGTACTCTGATGTACGAAACTGTCATTATACAGGAACTCGACTTACTTCCACACAGTGGACTATTGGACTATGAGCCAGATACGCCTCTACCAAAGTTCACCCAATGTCCACGGCCAAAGACTTCTATATCGGGATTGCTCACTGATGAAGACGACTCTTTCTTCAATTTCCACTTCCTCGCTCAGGCCGCTCATCGCATTATTCTGACACGCGTGAAGCAGAGTTTGTACACGTTTGCTGAGAAGGATAGCTACCCCAGCGCCAGCTTAACAGCCGAAATGCATCACCAACTCGAGCAATGGCGCGCAAACCTCCCACCGTCTCTTCAATTCTTGGACAATGACAACGCCAGTGACTCTCCCAGCCCCGCACATGTTATCGCAAAAGCCATGCTACGAAGCCGCTACCTCGTCGCAAAATTCCACATCGGCCGCCCATTTCTCTACAAAGCGCTGCACGCGCCAGCATACACCAGTGATGCAGAGTACGACGAGGTGCGCGAGGGCCTTCGAGGGGGCATGTACTGGCCGACTACCATGGGGCTTTGCACCCAGATGTTGTCGGCTCTACCAATAAAATTTGGATGGTGTTGCCAGTGCTTCGGACAGGTGCTATTGTTTCACGCCGTAGCGCGGTCGCCAGACCCAAAGTTGCGAGAAACGCTGCCGGAGGGATGGCGCGAGTGGGTAAGCATCATGATGACACTTATCGAGAGTTGTGCGAGGAATAGTCCTGGTATCGCAAAAGACTACGAGCTATTGCGCTTGCTGGATGCCTAACCCTCCGAGTGCAGCTTGAACACCTTTGCGACGCCCTACAGATTGCAACGGCGACGCTAGAGTACTCTGAAGGTATACAGGCCCTGTTATTATAATCTAACACAAGTTTGGATGAGACCCTGCATTACCCTGCCATACGTAACACAGTACCACAGATTCTCGAGCCTTGCTCCCAACACACATATCATGACCAAGTTTCCACAATCAAGAGACGACTAATCACTCATCTAGTAAAGAGCCAAGAGCGAGCAACACGAGACGAAGAAAGATACGATAAGGCATTTTCAAGCATGCACCTTTCTTGTGTTTCGAGTGATGGTGATGTTTCCGCACCGCCGCTTCAGCGTTGATCCTGCCATCTATAGCCGAGTACGAGAGGCTTGCGTGTACAAAGTAGCTAATAAGCTGACTACCACAAAGGCGCATGCGATGTCGACTGATCTAATCTAGCTCGAATCAACACTCAACAGATGGTTAGTTGAGCGTGCAGTTTTCCAGTGCTCTTGCCATTCGCATCCCAATTTTTGTCCATCGCAATTCCATGTGGATCGCTGGATGACATGGCACAGCCACAGGTTGCGCATCCCAGATCGCGTTTCAGACTTTCAGCCCCTTCCGGCGCGGCAGCTAAACCGTACGCAGTCGGTGATGGCCCCTGCATTGCTTAGGGATGGAAACAAGGATCTACCAACTCGGGTCTGACACAACTGCCACTAAACTGGGGGCGTCGGCCACCTCCTTTGAGGGAGAGGGACACTTAACTTGCCATCTTACCTTTCTTCTTGCTCCTTTTTAGCACCTGGCGCAGCACTTTTTGGCTATTCGCATACGTTGTCGTCTTCTGTTCACGCCACCTTGTTTTTGTGCGGTAGACTCTGCGACGCACGCTCCAGTTGTTGGGATTCACGATTTCTGGGGGACTCGCTGGAGAAGACTGAACTTGGATGCAGAAGACCGAGGACTGCGATTCTGGACTCGTACGCGCAGGCGAACTTGGGTCATCCTAGGCTTCTGAACCCCAGAGCGTGAACCGCGACAATGGCCGACTACACATACCAATCGCTGGCCAACATGGGGCCACAAGGGCGATGGCGACGTGTTTTATTGACCGCTATGATACCCATGGCGCTGGCTTTGGTTTACTTCAGCTATCCTTCTGCATACGTCCCGAGCAGCCTTCGGTCACAGTACGTTTGAATTGCCCTCGCATAAAGGCGTGCCTAACAAAATCACCACAGGTACCCGCACACGCAAAATGTCTCTCTACCCAAAGATGACGTCTCGATGGCGACAATAATAAAAGCCCTCTACGGTCCGATATTACACCCCATCGACGCCGCCAACTTTACCGACGAAGATGGAGACATATACAGACTATCCGGGGAACCAAAATTCAAGAGCAAGCTAGGCAAGAAGGTGCTTATATTGGACATTGATAGCCGACCGTTGACGGATAAGGGTCAGCTTATGGACCCGCATTTGAAGTGGAAGGGCATGCGCTCGTTGAGTGCGGGCATGCTGGGGCATTACATGTTCGGTACGTTGCCACGACGCATGGCAGGTCGCCAACGACAGTTCTGGCACGTGGAGCGACTCGGCTAACATGCAGCAGCACAAATACACGGTTACGATTACAAGTTCATTCGCGCACCCGATTACGCCGACCGGTGGGGCACATGGGTCAAGGTTCCAATGATGAAGGAAGCGCTCAAGACCCATGAATACATTGTCTTCATGGACTCAGACGTCATGTTCCACTACCCTCACCTGCCTCTCGAGTGGCTGCTCAACTACTGGAACATGACCGACGATACCCTTGCCATGATGTCTATCGACCCGAACGAGCCGCAGAACTACGATGCGAAGGGCAACCGATACCTCAACACCGGATTTGTCATCGCACGACAGAGCAAGAGGACACAAGAGATGTACAAGGCCTGGGCGGAATGCCCTTCTGAGACCAAGTACAAGGGCTGCGCGCATTGGAAGACAGATTGGGCGCACGAACAAGCCGCCTTTGGAAACTATCTTCGATATGACTACGACCGACCGGACGATATCCGTGTTCTCCCTTGCGTCGAAGCCAATGGCGCACCCGAGGCTGCGAACCGGGGTGGTTGCAAGGGCGTGTTTGTACGACATTTCTGGGTCGACAAAGGCCTTGTAGCTAAGAACCTGGCGGACAGCGTCATGCAGTACTTCCTACCGCGATTGCACGAGGCGTACCTGGGCTCAGCGAGTGAGCACATCGTGGATGCAAAGGGGTTCAAGCTTGAAGGTGCGGAGCTGATTGAGATGACCGAAGAGGAAAAGGCCGCTGCCAAGAAAGGGAAGGGCAAGAACCAGAAGGACGAAGGGTGGTAGGGCAACTTCGAATTAAGCGAGAGTCTCTAGGTCTTACCCAAGATACCTACGTTCGGCGCACGCGCATCTCAACCTGCTTCACCAATCTCGGAACCATCCCATGCACGATTCTCATATAGCCGTCATCTACGCCAATTTTGTATCAGGCGGGTCTCTCATGTCGGCGTCCATCGGCGTCTCATGTCTTATCATTACGTTCTTGTATAGAAAACCTCTTCAGCATGTTTTATCGTCATATTAGACTTGGGTGGGACGGACTCAAAAGAGGGGTTCCTTGATTCATGTAGGAGCGTCTTTAGGCACGATTAGCCGATCTAAATACCAATTCTTCACATTTTCGAATCGAGCGCACCTTCTACTCTTGCATTCGTAGTGAAAGCACATCAGCATGACCGACCAAACAAAGTGTAAAGAAATTCGGAGAGACATCGACATATTGGTTGATAACACGATGGAATTAGAGCAGTACTTATTGTTTCCTTTCCACCTGACCGTCTCTGAACGTTTTTCGTATGCCGTGGCTAAGCACGATTCTCTTGGAAAGAACAATTCACTGCGTCTGGCTGCCACAAAGTCGTTATCTTGCGCGAATGAAGATTGCATTAGTGCTTAATCTCAGGTATCGGAAGTTTAGGCAGGCCAGTGATTGCTGGGAAGTAGCTTCTGTTCCCCTGTTATAGCACGTTTCGTTTGCTTCGACTGTCGACTTAGACTTCATGCTCAATATCCGCGACCCTTGGTACCTTGTGCAGTCGTAAGCCACAGAAATTGGCGACAAGCTCGATCTGTGCCGGGTCAGTATGGCCTATGAAGCACGAATTAATTGCTGTCTTACGCATTGTTGGATCGTCTCAACGTCATCTCTGCTAACGCCAATGCGCCTGGTGCCGCGCAAATGCCAGGCAGTTTCTCTGGGCAGATTCTGAATCATGATGCCGCTGAGTACAGTGAGCTCGGTCTCAACGTCATTGAGAATGCTGTGATCGGACAGATAGAGTCCGTAGGTAATTTGCTTGCTCGTCCAATCTACGCTTCGTCAGCATAAGACTACAGAATGGCTAGACATTCACATGCCAAAATCCTTCTGTGAAGCTAACACATTATCGATGCCTTCTTGGTTGTGCTGGTACAAGCGACCTTGCCATGCTGCACCACGTTTTGAGTTTGCCTCGTCACATTGCCATCCTTCTCTGCCCTGCTGTCAGTTTTCACATTTGCGTACTGATGATTTCTGATCCTATACCTTGAGAATGTATAGTCCTTGTCCTCTGGCTTGGTAATTGCATCGATGTCGAAGATGGCTTCCAGTGGCTTGCACACACCCACAATGACGATGAGCTTGAACAGTGTCTCACGTATTCTTCGCATCAAAGCCTGGCGGTGTTCGGGTGTCTGGTATTCAGGTCGCTTGATAAGCTCCTTGTAGAGCAGGGGCGCGAAGCCGGGCTGTCCGCCGCCAACGATCGACGCAAGCTACAAAGAGTTAATCACTGCTCTTGTATGTGTAAAGAGGATGATCCCATACCAGAAGGACATACCATTTGTCACCTCCAAGCGACCTTGAAGGAAACTTCTCCTCTACCGTCTTGAACAGGGCAAGAGCCTCGTCATCGGTTGGGTCGCGGGGTATTGGGATCGTACTAGTCGACATAATGACTCTCTTACTATCACGGAGGAGTCTGGAGTAGCGGCACAACAACGCACTTCTCGGGACATCTGCTGACTGTCGGCATTGCGTCTTCCGATTGTCGGGATGGTGAAGCACGTACAAGGACCGATCGCGGCTGCGACGCGTCTTCAAGCTTCGGCGCGCGTCGCTCTAAAGCAGGCATGCGGGGTAGACATACCCAGGCACCACCATACTTTACGGAGAGGCTCCTCTCTCCCCGAAACTGGCATGTCCGCTTATAACACTCAACTGGGTTTCTAGGTAGATGCAGCATGTAAGCAGCAACCTGGGAAAGTCTACTTGGACTTGATCCAGAGCACCATCACGGAGCACCGTCTCCATCGACTCCAATTGTCAAAAGTTTTTCTCCTCTTTTACATACGATTACTCATTTGAAAGCAGAAGCAAAAGCCTGAGTACGACCAGGAAGCATGTCTAGTACCAATTCGTGCCACTACCTGCCTAATGGCAAGCCCAAAACCGTCATAATCACAGGCAGCGCCAATGGCATCGGTGCGAAAACAGCTCGTACCTACCATGAACATGGTTGCAATATCGTCGTAGCCGATCTTGCTTCCTCCAGCAAGGCAGCCAATGCTCTTGTCTCATCTCTACCTGAACCATCACGAGCCATTTATCACCCCACTAACATTGTTAGTTGGAGCGACATGCAAAACCTGTTTCGGGAGACAAAGAAGACATTTGGTCAAGTGGATATCGTCGTTGCGAATGCAGGGCTGATGGAAAGCAAAGGTTTCTTCGACTTTGAAGAGGACGAGCAAGGAGAACTAATGGAGGCGGTTGAAGCTGGCAAGATTATCGATGTTAATCTGAAAGGTACTATGAATAGTAAGCCATTGAATCACGCATTCCTTCCAGGCCTATCTCTGATACTGAGTAGCTCTCCGGATGGCTATGCACTCGATGAAATCGAACCCACTAGACTTGGACGGTGCACGAGGCTCGATCGTACTCATAGCCTCAACGTCTGGGTACTTCGGTGGAACTGGCGTAGTCTCATATGTCTCTTCTAAGCATGGCGTAGTAGGTTTAGCGCGAGCCTCACAGACTGTTGCCCAGCAGCTCAGTATCCGAGTCAATGTCGTAGCACCCTTCTTCACCCCTACGCACATTACCTCAGGTTACTCAGAGAAGTGGAAGGACTATGGTTTGCCAGCAAATACAACTGCAGATGTAGCTAATGCTATTGTGACCACAAGTATGCACCCTGAGAGACAGGGCCATAGCATGATGGTGAGTCTACAACAACGTCGTAGGAAGTTGCCCTTTGGAAGAAGTAGTGCTGATATCAGTTTCCAGGTCGCAGGCAACTTGGTGAGAGAGATTGAAGTGGCAAGAACAAGCGCAATGAAAGATTGGCTAGGAGTGGAGATATTCGATATTATGACGAGAGGCGGCAAGTTCTTCAACGACCTGGGCGGCTATACACTGCCTAAAGCACGGTCCTAAAATCTCTCACTACATTATTTCACACCCGAGTAGTATAGCGAAAGCTCGCTACATGCAAGCTCGACTGGCTTCTTCTGGCGACGTTGTACAGTAGCGGCGAAAGCATTGCTATGAGAGCCTATCATGTAAAAGTAGAGCGACAACATGGCAGCTTTGCATGTCACGTGTTGTGTTGGATTGCATCGATTATGGTGCGAAATTTTACACATGGAACGGCTGAAATACTATTGGGTGATGTGTAGGAGTAATAGACTTCACGAGCCGATCACAGGGTTCATTTTCGGCTTAGTAATTCAGGAGCTTTGGCCCGGTGACGTTTTCCACAGCCCTCGGTATCGCCCACCTTGTACAATCTGTCTAAACGTCAATTGAGGCCTCACGACGGACTGTTTGCACCATGGCATCTTCAAGACTAGTTGCTCGCTCGACGCGCGCCCTCTTCTCCCTCCAGCGCACCCAATGCCGTACTTTCAGCATTTCCACTATCCGCCACAATGAGTTTGAAGCCCTCAACAAGCGCACCAACGACACCTCCGAGACGTACCGCAAATACCAAATCGAGAGGCCGCTGAACCCTCACCTTACCAACACCACCTCTACTATTGCCAATGAAATGCCTTCGATTGGTGAAGACGCTGCCCCGCCCGAATTGATCACCAATGCCGACAGCAAATTCACACCTAAAGACTCTGTGCCTGAGAACACTAAGCGCATGACGGGCGGAACACAGGGCAGCAAGGATCAGGACGTCAGCGGGGCAAACAGCGAACTAGGTGTTGGCGAGATGGAAGGCGCCAAGTTCAAGGTCGAGCCTATTCGCAGGACTGGAGAAGACCCCAACACTATGCGTGCGAGGTTATTATGTCCGTTCATACATTGCCCATCTCCTATTCCTCACCGCATATACAACATCGGTACCTGGGCGAAGCATGGCTAACGAGTAATTAGATCAGAGCCGCAAGAGGGGAACCCTAGAAAGTGATCTCCTTCTCAGCACCTTCGCCGACGCCCACCTAAGCACCATGTCTCCTTCATTGATGCAGCAGTACGACACTTTCCTCGACGAAAACGACTGGGACATTTACTACTGGGCAACTCAAGAGCCCACACCCACGTCCCACGAGACAGCCGAGGGCGGTGGCTCTGCAATGTCTACCGCCAACGCACAGGGCATGGATGCAACGGCACAGACGAAGTTGCCTGAGAAGGACGAGCGTAAGAGACAACCTGGAGAGGGTGAATGGGCGCAGACGGTCGGCACTTTCAAGCCTGCGTATAGGCCTGTGCCTAGCAGGTGGAAGGGTAGTGAAATTCTGAGCTTGCTCCGGAGGCATGTCAACGAGCGTAAGGCAGGAGGTGTCATCGAGGGCGAGGGTAAAACACAACAGGAAGGCAAGGGTCTGGGCATGATGCCCGAGATCAAGAACTTCGATCAGTAAAGCAACCATCTCACTTTTGTTCATCTTGTCCTGTAGGTTTACTGTATAGATAATACTCTTAACCGTCCTTTCATGTCCTGTATATCTCTCAACTGTTTCACCCACAGGCCATCTTTGCACTTCTTCCGGGATCCTTGCTGTCATGCTCTCTTTTTTTTTTTCTTACCACAACGTACATTGCGCAAACGAGACACCACATAATTACTAGCCTGTATTTCCTCTTGAGTTACTTGATCCGGAACTCATTTCCTCCGTTTTACGCATTTCCGCACCAACTCCCACGTGTTCTGCGGCAATTCTAGTTAGATTTCCCCGGAGCTTTATGTCATTACCCCGGTTCAATTGCCCCACACGGCAAAGCTCGCTTCGGCATTTCATATGTTTCGAAACCACGCCTGGTATACCGGCGCCGGCTATTATTGGAGGAAGTACTATTTCTCACTCTTCTAGACTGATCATTCGGTGTCACGTTCAAATGCAAATGGCTGACGGTGTAAATTGAAGGGGATGTGTTGCCGCATGTAGAGGTCTGTCCGCCATTCTCAAACGTTGCTCTCCAGTGACGGGTTATATGATGAGTCCTGGTATATAGCTGCTGGTTCTTGGGTGGTTGAGAGGCATCCCATCTTCAGCATCGATCATCCTCGTTCGCGATGCGGTTTACGTCTCTTCTCCTCTTTGCCAGTGCGGCACTCGCCGCCCTGCCCTACAAAGGCGCAGATTGGTCTTCCCTTCTTATCGAGGAAGCAGCCGGCAAAAAGTACAAAAACGCGGCTGGTACGGTCCAGCCCCTTGAGACCATTCTCAAAAACAGCGGCGTAAATACTGTTCGCCAACGCATATGGGTAAACCCCTCAGATGGGAACTACAACCTCGATTACAACCTCAAACTTGCCAAACGCGCGAAAGCGGCCGGTTTAGGCATTTACCTCGACTTCCACTACAGCGACAACTGGGCCGACCCAGGCAAACAAGTCGTACCAGCAGCGTGGAAATCGCTAAATCGCGAGGCCCTCATCAAGCAGGTGTACGACTACACCAAGAACGTGATCAATACCTTCTCCACCAACGGCATCACCCTCAATCTCGTTAGCATCGGCAATGAAATCACACCCGGCCTCTTGTTCCCTATTGGCCAACTCTCTGGCACCGATGGACCGAAGAACGTTGCTGCGCTACTTAAATCAGCATCCAAAGCCATCAAAGAGTCCTCCATGAGCCCCAAGCCCAAGATCATGATCCATCTAGACAATGGCTGGAACTGGGAGACACAGCAGTGGTGGTACGACCTCGTGCTAGGATCAGGTGGTGGGCTGTCGGCCGCAGACTATGATGTCCAGGGTGTATCCTACTACCCCTTCTACAACAGCGCTGCCACGCTATCTGCGCTCAGCACAAGCTTGAACAATATGGCGAAAAAGTATGGCAAGGAGGTCATGGTTGTTGAGACAAATTGGCCGAGTTACTGCCCTAACCCATCAACTGCTTTCCCTGCGGATGTGAAGAGCATTCCAATCAGTGTAGATGGCCAGACGCAGTGGATGAAGGAGGTTGCGAAGCGTGTGGCTGCTGTTCCAAACGGTAAGGGTACAGGTCTTTTCTACTGGGAGCCAGCTTGGATTGAGAACCCAGGGCTGGGTAGCAGTTGTGGGTGGAACCTCATGGTTGGGGATGACGGCAAGGTCATGAGTAGTCTGGCCGTTTTCGGCAGCATCTGAGTGACCATTCTCTGTCGCTTCAAAACTGTAAATATTACACGCGTTAGCACATCAGCAAGACTATATCAGGAACATTAAACAAACTCCCAAGTGTTCGCGTGTGATCGCAACTCACCCACGTATCAATATGAACGAGTTGAACAAAAAACACATGAAAGTGAAAAGTATTAAAAAGCAATGACAATGGTCAGAACACATTTCGGGTGGTCAAGCCATCTTTGATGTTTGGGTGGTTTCATTGAGTACATAGCAGTGAAGCAGTGCAGACTCCTTTCCCTCCCTAGTCAAAAAGCAGCCCAGTCCATTCCGAATGTGCAAAGGAAGATGTGTCAGGGTTCGTGATGGCATCATATCCTTCCGCTAAATGCCTTTTCGTAACCTCATTGCGCCCGCAGCAAATGATCAACCTACTGCTCCTCAGAGTAACCCTCACCACCAGCTGGCTGGGCCTCGCCCTCGCCCTGCTCGGCCTGCCTGGCCTGCTCTGCGGCTTGCTGAGCAGCGATGGCCTTGGCGCCGTAGTCTTGCGACATGGGCTGGACAACGGGCTGCTCCTCCTTGGGCTCGATGATGGTGACGGAGTCGGGGAGAGTCTTGGATGGGCCGGCCTTGCCCTCGGGGTCGGAGCCGCGCATGATCTTAACCTTAATACCGAGGACACCCTGGCGGAGCAGGACGTGGCGGGTAGCGTGGTCAATGAAGTCCTTGGCGGGCTGACCGGAGTGGATCATGAAACCGTCCTGTATGACGTTAGTATGCCAATTCCTACTGTATCCCATGTGCGTATGCCTACAGTGAACTTCATGCTCTTGGCACGGGCGGCCCTGAGCTTTCCGGAAACAACAACCTCGCAACCCTTAGCGCCAGACTCCATGATGAACCTCAGGACACCGTAGCAAGCCCTTCGGACGGCCAGACCATTGAGAAGCTTGTATCGGAGGGACTCGCACTGGGCGACGGCGGAGAGACCACGGTTCTGAACCTTGGCGGCGTAGAGGGAGACGGAGTTCTCGGGGAACTTGAATCGCTTCTGGATGAGCGAGGTGAGCTCACGGATGCGGCGACCCTGCTCTCCAAGAACCTCCTGGGTGTGTGTGGCGCGGATGATGATGTCGGTGACAGTGGGGGTGACGCGGACCTCGACGCCGGAGTAGCCCTCCTCGGCCAGCTCGCGCTGGAAGAACTCGTTCAGCTCGGCGTAGAAGACACCGTCTGTAGGAGGTGATGTTAGCGACCGGTCTGTCTGTGTGCGCAATGCCCCTCATATCTCGCATTCGACGTCTTGAGCCTCGTGGGTTCTATGCCACGCTGCAATGACCCAAGATGCCCCTCTCTTGCATGCTCCGTCTTCTACTTGTAGGGAGGGTATATCGTACCAGCAACGAACTTTCTCCTCTTGGAGCTGCAGGCCGTCAGTACTCATTCCCAGTTGCGCGTCTTTGCCATGCGATGGCGTGCAGGTAAACTCACATTGCGGTTTGAGTGGTGGCCATTTTGTCGAACTGTGGAAGGGCGTATCTGAACTCCGGGCGTGGGTGTTCAGAAAAGTCGAGCCGTTGTTATTGAAGTCGTAGTTGATTTCCGTGAGAGAGCGACCAAAATGCTAAGCGAAGCAAGTGGGCGCTAAAGCTCGGACCACATCCATTCATCATACGAAGAGGCTCATAGATAGCAGCATCTGGTCCCCCAATCATGAAAGCGTCAAGCAGTACACATAATAATTTCACCTGGTATAAAATATAATATTCGGTAACTGCATGCAAGAGTTTCCCAAACGCCGGTCAATGCCAAGCCCAGTCTCAGTCTTCCCAAAGCGCCGCCGCGCCATCATCTCCTCCCTTCACCTCCTCCCTTCACATGCTAGAGATGCTCGATGGGGCCCTCAGGTAGCAGGGGCTCGTTCTTCCTTTCCACACATGCCTTGATCGGCGGACGAATGAGGTCATTGAACAAGAAGGTACCGTACACTAGCAGAGCGAAACCCGCAACCTGAAGCCACTTGAACGTCTCCCAACCAAGGCCAAGCGACACGATCCAGATAAAGAGTGTGCGGCAAGTATCAATCGTGGAGCGCGAAGTAGCGGAGACGGTCCGAGTTACGGATAGACCGAAGAAGTTGAAGCCACTGCAACATGTTAGCGAGGATTGAGGATATGAATGGAAGAAGACATACCCAATGCTGACCATGATCAACAGCGAGGACACTGCGATGGCACGGTAGTGCGTCATCTGGTACAGTCCCTCTCTGGCGTTGAAGTATCCAGTTCCGATGGCGAAATGTAGGATGATCATGCCAATGAGCGTAACCAAGAAGCCAAAAATACCCTCCCAGCCTACAACCTTAATTGGCTCCATAGCATACTTCTCCATGATCCTCTCTTCAAGCACGAACTGTGTCGCAGTGAAGATTTGCGCACCAGCAATAAGCAGGACACCGATAATGGTCATGGCGGCCTGCGAAGTCGCCGCGTCGACACCAACTGAGCCGGTTGCCTCATCATGAATCGATTGATGACCGGGCGAAGCTTTGTCATCTTTGGTGATAGCACCTGCGAGTCCGACGACAGCGACACCAGCTACGACAACAAAGAGCGAGAACCACTTGTAGAGACCAAGATGGCGCTTGAGGAACCACACGCTGAACAAACCGACAAAAAGGACCAATGCGCCTCTGGTCATCTGATAGATACTAGCAGCGACAAACAGCAGGCCAACATTCATGAGCGTGGTTCCGGCAATATCGCAGCAGGCCGGAAGCGCCAACAAGAAGATGCTGCGTCCCTCGAGCGGTATTCTGCCCTCGTCATCGGGATGTGCGGGCCTCAACGGGTTGGCGACAGCACCCGTTTCACTGTCATCTGACCCTTCATTATCTGGAATGGCCTCGTAGCCGGCCTTTGCGCTGGCATACCGCTGGTAGAGTTGGAAGACACCAATCACCAGCCAGCAACCCATTTCACCCATGAACATCTGAAGGGTCTGCAGGACAGGTTGTTCGAAATGGTCGCGATGTTTCGGCGAAGGGGAGTCGCAGTTGTTGACGCATTGCATGTCCTAGTTGCGCGCAGTCAGCATTTGGCTACAGGGGAGCTGCACGGAGGGCTTTACGTACTTGGTACTTGGTTAGCAGTGTGTTACACACACCCGTCAACAGCATCATAGCCACCAAGAACGGCACTGCAGCTTTGACCGCCATGATGGAGATGAGTCGAGCTTCCGGAGCTCAGCAACGCTTATCGGACGCGGTATCGCAAAGTGATGGGTTGTGGACAAGAACGCAAGCTGTGTCCAGATGGAATGCGGGGGGAGATGAGGTGGAGGGATAACAGAGTCGAGATCGAGGCAGCGACGGCAAGGTACTAGGCAGCTCTGAGCTGCGACCCGTGACGGTTGATGGCCGAGTGAGGCGCGTGAGGCTGCGTGACGACTGATGCGCCTCGGCGATAAGAGATGGCGCTAACGTCCGGCTGCGTTCCCGACCGTCTCTGCAATAGAAGCATCCTTGCAGCTGCGTCTCTGTTCCCCAGTTTCTATTCACTCTTGCTTCTTTTCATTCATTCAATACTCCCCGCGCATACTCTACCTGTAGTCCGACACGTCTGTGGTTCTTGCAACGGAAAGCATCCCTAGCCTGTCGGAATCGCCGTCGCTATTCCAAACTGTCTCACACTGCCCGTTCGGGTGATGGGGACGCGTGACCTGGTCAGTCACGGTGCCTAAGGAGCATTTCCGCAATCGGATCAGTGCACATCGCCTGTGTTCCTTTTTGAAGACACAACTATGAAATTCAATGGGTATCTAGGTCTATGCGATAGTTCGCGCTCTGTACCTGAAATGGCAAAGTACTTTTGAACTAAAATAACGACATATCGGGTGCGACGAGACTCTCCAATCCAAATTACAAGAACCACCTAAAGTCTGGGTTCTTGGGTCCATCTCTCAGTTTCTCGGTTGAAACATCCCTAGCAGTGTGGTTGACGCCCTGTTTCGCGTTCCTCCTCTTATTGTCTACAACCATGTAGGCACCCAGCAGCGCTGCACACAAACATCCAGTCGCTCCGAAAGCTGCAGTAGTCGCCAGCGCAGGGATGTACTCTGGCGCATCCTGTGGCCTGAAGATGTTCGAACTAACGACACCCATCAAGTTTGCCAGCGGCACACCAACCGAGGTAAGGGTTACACGCCGGTTCTCGTCGGCGACGTTGTTGTTGTACCATGTGGAGAGGAGAACGGAAGGTGCAGATGTACCCCATGTCATCATGAAGCAGGCGAAGTAGGCAACGGTAAGGGATTGTTCTACGTCAATGGTGGCGTAGATGATGAAGCCGATGAATGTGAGCAGAAAGCCGAGAGCGATGAACGGGAAGCGGAGACGAGTAAAGTCCGAGGCAAAAGCCAAGATGAGAAGAACGATTGCTCCAACGATGTTGGGCGCTACAGTATAAAGGTTCGTCTTGATGTGATCGTATCCTAGTCGCGCGACAATCTGTGGCAGAAATAGCGATACGGACTGCAGCGGTACACCGAGACAGATTTCAATGGCTAGGAAGCCATAGGTTGATGCCTCTTTGAAAATACCAAGAGCGTCTTTTAGATTGAACTTTTGGTCAACGACCGATGAAGAGTCGATCTGGATACGCGTGTATGCGAGTTGCTTCTCTGACTCATTGAGGAATTTGGCTTCGAAGGCGTTCTTGGGGAGGTACCAGTAGGCGAAGAAGGAGAAGCAGACTGTGAGTGCTCCCTCAATAATAAACAGGTAACGCCACGAGTCAAGCTTTGACTCGATTTGGAATACACCGAAAGCGAGCAGTCCACTGAATGCGTTTGCAATATTGGAAGCGGCATAGAATAATGCCAGTCGTCTGGCAAGCTCTCCTCGACGGTAGAAGGTGGTCAAGTAGTAGATGACCAATGGGAAGAATGCAGACTCAGCCATACCTGTGTAACGTTAGTTGTACATCCATGCACACTTTCAAATCGAATACTCACCCAAAAACCATCGTAGAGCCATCATACCACTCCAATTCTGCACGCTAGCAGCGAGCAGAGTCGCACTACCGAAGCAGAACATCATGATCGGCAGCACACGATGCGGCCCGTATTTCTTTCCCAGCATACCAATCGGTGGCGCGAAGATGACATATGGTACGTAGAAGATACTTAGCATGATGTTGTATTGGTTGCCCACGAAACCAAGATCTTTGTCCATGCCGTCCGTCTTTGCGTTGCCTAGATTGCCCTTGTCGAGCGCGTTGAAGAGATACATGACAGCCAGCATGGGCAGAATCCTGAGATCAAACTTCCACGTCAGAGCCTTCTCGTGCTCATATGTAGGCAGATGCTCGGTCGTTCCTTCGACTGGTACAGGTGCGTTGGCATCTTTGGACGAGGATAGGGAGGCCGTGACTTCGAGGCCGTCTTTCGCGAGCTCAGGATCTTTGTTCGTCGACATATTGATAATTCAAGATGTCGAGAACGCGTTCAGATATTGAAGAACCTAGATGAGATGTCGAACTCGGGAGCGACGCAATCTGTATGCGCTTCTAGGAAGGTCGTGGAAGAAGGTGCGATGCGACTCGACGTCGAAGAATCCGATTGCTTGCTTTGTCTTATGTACGATCACCATGAGCTAGTAACTGCGATTATAAAACCAATAGAAACTGCATTCATCCCGTGGAGTTACGTGCAACCTCAGGCTACACACTAACGCAGCCGGATATCCCAGGCGTTACATGGCGGTAGCGAGTGCAAGGTAACATTCTCCGCTGTCTATCTCACGTTGCGCATGGTCCTTCTGATAAACTCCCTGCTCTTTCTGACCAATACCGATTATGTCGCCTCGTGTCGCGCGCAGAAGCTGGGGTCTTTAGTGGTTCGGCAGCGACCCCAAAAGAGGGATCGGCATGGAGGATTGGAGGATTGGAGGGGTTCATCCGAGATACGACATGATAAGAAAAGGCCCGTCGCCATGCGATATCGGAAGGATCCGTGAAGATGGCAGTTGACATCAAACCTGCGATAATTTATCGGTGAGCTTCTATCATCTAGTTTTTCTGTACAAGTAGCATTAATCGCGATGCTAGAAAACTTGGAAAGTTTCTGCGCGTGGGTAGGGAAAGTGGAGTGAAGTTCGGGGGAAGTTCCCCGCACTTGGTAACGACCTAATCAGGGGCGGATTGCCTGATCCACTGCCATGCACACTTAGGTACGAAGAAGCTCGTCTCTCTCATGTAGTAATTACTACCTGAGTAACCCAGAGGAATTTTGTTGACTGTAGTGTCGGCAACACCCCTATCGTATCCGGCACTGTCAGAGAACGAGCATCAAAGATGATCCAAGTGCACGATTCTTCTACGGAACCACACGAAACATGAAATTTTGATCGCTGAATACCTCGGTGACTTCAAGTCAGTCTGACCGTACTGGTCTCTGACAACAATCATATAGCCCTCGTGCCGGAACTGCAGAACCCAATATCGATCCTTTCCAACTCTGGAATTTGGTTCACAGTACAACGATCGTTCTCAATCATAAAATCTTTGATTAAGCAGAGATATAGAAAGATAGTGCCACTATGAACATGGAGATTGGATCTGTGAAGCTCCAATCCAATGATCGGGTCGATTGTAGTATTTAGGCACGGTGCTTCCTGATCGTTAAAAACAAAGACCGCACAACCAATGTATTGCAAGGTGTCTCTCGTAGTTGAAGTCGAACTCTCCTCATTTGTAGGAATGAGGTGGGGTTTCGTATGTCCGGCACGGACTACCAAAACTTCCACGACAACCTCCTTAACCGGGTCTAGCTCCCCTAGTAGAACCAAGATTGAAAGATTTGGGCCTTTCTTGCATTTCCTCCTATGCCAGAGTATCATTTCATGCTATCACTTCTTGCTACCCTGGACTACCTAGAATGTTGGCACACCGGAATCTTTGCTGTGTTTAGGCTCTTGAAGTATCAAGATAAATCCATCGGTGTTTTGTGTCTTCATAGTCCAGCGTAGTATGAGCTATTCCGTGCGAGCTGTATTCGCTTAATCACTCACCCATAAGCAGACAGAGCATCTGTCTAGAATGTGAGATTAAGCGTAGCGTGAGAGTCTACCATCTTGTGCCTGTTTTGGCCACTACCCTTTCCATCTACTATGATACAGGCAAGAACGGCATGTCTATCGGAGTTGTTTCCAGACCACCTACTCTTAGTGAAGCCGTGATAGAAGCTCAACTGCTGATCTCGTATCCACAAATTCCTGTCGCACTTAATTTCACACAAAAGAAGTTCTGCATCAGGAAGTTATATTGTTTGGGGTGACAGCAAGCGTTTCTGAAAAGCCAGAGCCCGAGTCAGTCGAGGCAAATTTACTTGACAGGATACTCTTTGTTCTAATGACCTTCGATTATGAACCGTACGTAGTGCTTCGCTTTTATGGCTTATCTTAAGCGGCTTCGTAGAACTGTTGCGGTCTGAGAGCATGTAGGAGCGCTCATTGGTATTGCCGGATTCAATTACGACAAGCGGAACGAAAGAATTCGGATAGATGAAAGTCATATTGCTGCCTCTGTGGCACCAAGCATTGAGCTCATTATACAAGATGGAAAAAGAATCTACCTACAAGTAATCGACTGTAAGTCGCCATGTAAGGTTGAAGACATCCTTGAGGGTATAGGGCGCAAAACTCAACCGATTTGGCATTTTGGCAGGTCGCTGGTCACATATAAGTCTGTCATGCTTTCGTGCATTGAGCGGGAATTATACATGCCCCGAATTCGACAATCATGGCGTTATAGTTGTGGTGTTTCTTCGCCATCAATTAACAATGGTACTTTCCGGATGTATCAAGCTCAAAGCTAAGCAGTAAAAAGTCGGACACGCATATTACTCTTCAAGGCCCTGCGTTACATGTTTTTCCCTGCACGCCGTCTTGGCTGGTGGATACCGAATGGGGGTTATCAATGCCGGGTGGTACGAAGCGATACGGTATCGGAGTACTCACAACCAAGCATCTCTTTTAACAGACTTCTTGCGTCTGAGCGCACGATGATTTTCCGGAAACAGAGGCTAGTAAGCGTCATCCCAGTAGGGGAAAGGTTATTGCTTTCGTTGCTCGGGTTACTAAAAGATTGCATATTTTTGACATGGAAGCTAGCATTTTGTCTTCGGAATCGTCTATGGTCGAGAAGAGAAATTGCGTAA